CTGGTCAACAAGTACAAAGTTACAACTGGATAGAAGGAATAAGTTTTGGTGTTCTGTTGCCCATTGCCTTTTGACAAGCAGCCTGAGAGAGTAGGGTCGGGGATGGGGCTGCAGCAGAGTGATCTAGACTTAGCCCATACAGGCCTGTTTCTGAAAGTGAAAGTTCAACAGTGGCTCTCCCAACCGTCCCAGCAAAACGTTGTTTCCACAGAATAAAATAATTTGTTTCTAAACTCTATAGATGGAATCATATTGCTTCCAATTTCTTCTTCCTTCTGTGCTGTCGTCCTGTCAGACTCATGGCCATCACGAACAGGTTCTGAGCCATGTCCCTCTAAGTGTTCTTCCTTAATCATGGTGCTAGTCAGCTGTCTCTTGACCTTTTGTAGTTCTCACCTTCCTCACTGCACTCTTAATACCCCCACCTCCCCGTCACAGTTCTTGAGATTCTTGTTGTTCAGGTCAGGCAGCATTTGCCTACCAACTTGTCTGAATTCCTTAGGGGGACCAAGCAGCTGCTGAACAGATGTTTGCCTAATTTAATTCCCTTTACTTTCTTTTGGGGAACTAATTATTTTTATTGATGGTTTCAGCTACAAACTTATAAGCTGTAATGGTAAGGATCTAAGTTAAATATAGCCATCTAAAGAAAACCTATCCATCATGTACTTTTTTAGGCTTTTGTGGTTTGGGTAATAGAACAGCCAAAAACTGTTTAGTCCTTGATAGGGAGAGCCTATACATTGGTTCCTAATGGACCCTGTATTCTCAATGGTGTTAGAACATACCAGGGAGAAAGATATGAATGCTAATGTCTGTCACAGGGTTTTTTGTCTGTTAACAATGCTCTGCCTAAAGTTAGAGTTGTGTCATGTATCTCTCATGACTCCTCCATTATTTGTCCTAGCTGACTACAGTACCAGTGAGATGCTGGTCAACATGGGAAACCTGCCTCTGGATGAGTTCTATCCAGCTGTGTCCATGGTGGCCCTGATGCGGATCTTCCGAGACCAGTCCCTCTCTCACCATCACACGATGGTTGTCCAGGCCATCACCTTCATCTTCAAATCACTGGGACTCAAGTGCGTGCAGTTCCTGCCCCAGGTCATGCCCACGTTCCTTAATGTCATTCGAGTCTGTGACGGGGCCATCCGGGAAGTAAGTATGTAAAACCCCAGTCCTTGTTCCTCTCTGCTCTGTACCACACGTGCACAGAAGGTCCACCCGTGCCTCAGCTTCCTGATAATGCACTGCGTTTGCTATTGAACATAATACCTTTCTCCCTCTTCGCATGTAACACCTAAGTGTACAATCAGCTTGGTTTAATTTCTTGGCTTAAGATGGCTAAAAGATGAGTGGCCTCGGTGGGAGAGGAATGACTTTGTTATTCTGAGTGATCTAGAGTTCAATCCAGCTATAGAAGTTCCCACAGTCTGGATTTCTGGTTGCTTCTTCATGACTAGATTTAAGTAATACATTTTTAGTGAAAATACTATGTAGGTGAAGTTGCATAGTTCTTGCTGGATCTTATAACATCAGTTTGTCCCATTATTATTGATCCTAAGTTTGAGTATGTGATTAACTTGGTATCTATCAAATCTCTGCATTGTAAAGTTACCTTTTTTCCTTTGTTATTCATAAGTAATCTGTGGGGTGACGCTTTGAGACTGTGACTATCCTATTTCTCAGCTACCTTTTACCCAGTGATTTTAGTGTCCATTGATAATCCTTGCCTGAATCAGTTATCACACCGGTGGTTGCAAAGTGATGACTCCAGTTTAGTCATTCCTTCTCCTTTTATTAGCTGGTATTTTTCTGTAAAGAGCAATTTTCTCCTCACCTCCCTTTTCTGTCTTGCTCTTTTTTGTTTCTTTAAACCACAGAATATGCAAAGTGGTTTCATGATTACTATTCCCCCCACTGCCAACAGCAAATCCGCTAAATAAAATTCAAGGTGGTTTTGTAGTTCCTCTTATTCTTAGAATACACTCTACTAAGGGTGTACAGTGTACAGAGTACTGTTTTTAAAAGATATTGAATTGTTTTTCCCTCTGTGATCATATTGTCAACTTGAGGTACATTGAGGGGATAGATACATTAAGATCTTTTTAGAAATTGTATTTTCTGACTGGGCACGGTATTTCATGCCTGTAATCCTAGCACTTTGGGAGGCCAAAGTGGGAGGATCACTTTGTAGTAGTTCAAGGAACAGC